AACCTGCATAACCTTGTAGTTTGGGCAGACTGGTGTCTCTCAATAAAAATCTAACCGAAATGCTGGAAAAATTAGGAGCTTGTGCTTGTTGCTTCTTTATTGTGAATAAGGAATCAAGATTTATTGCCAGTGAATCAGCATATTGGGTGCTGAACTACTGCTACGCCCACTCCATGTCTAAGAAAGAGAAATTCATGAAGTCCAAAAATAGGGTGTAAAAGTTGGTTATGAAATGGTGGACAGTGAAATAGTTGGGTTATGATCAGGTAATCCACTGACCATAAAATTGTCTGCTGAAATATAGTGACGACAGATGTGATATCATAGTTAAATATAAAAATTAAGAACCTGATAGCATTTTTCTCCCACAGTTTTGGCTTAAAAACCCCCCAAAACAGTCAGAAAGGTTGAAGTTTTGGTGCACTTTTCTTAGGTAGGCATGTATTTATTATAATATATATTTTAAATTTTGCATATGAATGGGTGTTCCTGGACACACACCTTATGTTGCTGGTTTTGTACAAAGCAGCAGGTGTGGGAGAAGCAGATGGTGACCATAGCTATTATCTCTCTGGGTTCTGGTTGGACACCACCCATGTGGGACCTGCCATTCTAACCCCTCCAGACTCCTGGCACATAAATACTTGCCATAGTAGCCACTATAGTCTTTGTTCAGCTGGTTCCACAAAAATGCTGAAAAACTCCTTTGTGGGTTTCTCTTGTGGCAAGGGGCAGAAGATCACTCCTGTTACAATGCCAGCCTAATATTGTAGAAAATTTGAAGCACAGTTACCAATTCTATCTGGAGTAATCTCATATCCTTTGTGAGTTGCTTCTTCAAGAAATTAAATACATGAATTCAGTAAAAATTATTATAAGTGCAGTATATTCACCCATGAATGAGAGTCTTATTGGTGCTTTAACTGTTGAATCAGGTGCTAAGCACACATATAATTTCAGATTCCTTGGCATTGGTCTTGTGTACTGATTGAGGACCAAAACATCAGTTGCAGGTGCTTGGCATTAAGCAAAATGTTTTTAGTTTTTCCCTGTTCTTTACATTGGGGAAATCTTTATGATAACCACAAACAGCAGTGGATTATCAAACGTATTGGGAAAGTACTCTTGACCTTTTCTTCCCCTCTACCTGCATTCCTTAGTGATGCTTTTGGCTGCTCATTTAATCAGTCACTGCTGTTAGACACCAGGGATAATGACACAGAGATCATCATGAAGAAATCACTGTTTAAAAAAAACATAGTGAGATATGAGTAATAAATAGTGTGAAACACACTCAGAGAAGTACTTATATTTCTGTGCCCAATCTGCAGAGCTTTCTTTTCCATGCAACAGAGTGATTGTCTTTAGAAATAAAAACAATAAAATCATTCTGTTTACTTTTTCTCGTGTTCCAAAGTCCTGCTTGGAAATCTGGACTTGAAGGCCTGAAATCTTCCCACCCTGCTACTTTTCTTTAGAACTCCACTTTATATTAAAGACTGCTGTGTTGACTCATTGAATATAATTTGAGCTTTTCTTCCGTTTGGTAAAGACATGTAAGAATAGCATGTCATGGGACACTGATGAATTAATTCCTTGTGGGTCTATGACTACCAAAATGGGAGATCTAGATATTGAACAATCTGAAAATCCATTTTGCTCCTCAAACTAGCATAGAAAAAAACCCATTAAACATTCAAGGTCATGTTGGACGGGGCTCTGAGTGACCTGATCTCTGGTTAAAGGTGTCTCTGCCCATGGCAGGGGGGGGTTGGACTAGGTGACCTGTAAAAGTCTCTTCCAACCCAAATCATTTTATGATACACAACCTAATGTCTTGCTCATTTGCAAAGAGCATTTGCCTGGGAGCTCTTACATCTTCACAAGCTGAAGGACAGGCATGAAGGTGTGAGCCTGAGTGAAAGTTGTGATCAGCTGAGCACTGCAGCTGCTGAGCAAGGAGTGGGTACCTCCTTGTGGACATAGTGGTAGTCACTGTTAGTCTCCTTAGAAACATCACAGGCACACACCAGCCAATCCATCTGGTGTGTTTACAGTGTAAGTAATTTTGAAAGCTTTACTGCTCTGTGCATTTGCCTTTGGACAGAATTCAGCTCTTTCCTTTCTATTTGACACTTCAAATGTTTTTATCTTGAACTTTCTCATGAATTTTTATTAAGGAAAAGTCTTTTGGGAGAGGAGTTGAAAGACAAAAATAGGGACCCGAGTGGCCTTCAGACTGAGAGATTAGAGAGAAGTGGCAAAGCCTTTGGGAGAGAAAGGAACTCTGTACCAGGGGGAGCTGCAAAAGTTACAAAAATTGGCAATGCTGTGGGAAGGAATTCTCTGTGTGGGTCCCACTGCTCCTGGACTTTATTGTGACTAAAGCAAACTGGGGGAAACTTGAGTTTCCCTTGCTGCTGTTTGTTGTCAAATCTGAGAAGTGATGCTCAAGCTCATAGAGGTAGAGCAGTGTTCTGGTGATGATACACTCAGATGGGAGGCACTGACACAGCAGCAGGAGCAGCCTGGGGAGATCTTGACTGATGGATCCACATTGTGCCACCAATAAAACTCATTAGGCTTTGCAGTTTTATAAAAATGCAGCCTAGGGATGGAGCTTTCCTTATGGAATGAAGTAGCAGCTGTTAAAACAGCACTATGGATTCCAGAACTGACTGAACAACTTAGGTTTCGGGAGTTTCTGCATTAAGAGGGCAGAGCAAAGTGTTATCTGTAGGATGCAACTGCTTTATTGGAATTAGACCTTCAATTCAACCTGTGATTTTTTTGGTTAAACTGTCACAACAACCTGAATGAAATAGCAGTGGTCGAAATCTATTTCACTTCTACAGTTCCCAATACACTACAGATCTATACATTTTTTGTCGATGGGTTTTTGTTCGGTTTTGTTTTGTTTTGTTAGTTTGTGAGTTTATGATATTTTTTGGGGGGTTGTGGTTTTTTGTGTCTTTTTTGCTTGTTTTCTCTTCCAGCATAAGGGCTTGGTTCAAGGGAAGAGCTTTGGGAGCTGGGGAGAGGCTGTTTTTGACCTTGGCAGTAACTGTGCTTGGAGAGTTGCAGAGACTGTAGGAGGAAGCAAAAGAAAGGGGGTGATCTCTGGGAAGCTGCAGCTCCTGCAGAGAGAGCACCGAGAGGAGCAGAGAGCCCAAAGGGAGAGAAGGCAAAGGTGTGATAGACATTCCCAGGGGCCAGAGGGCACTGTGAAGAGTTTGTTGTAGCTCATAAAGTGCTGAGTTGCTTGAAGCTCAGCTGGAAATAAATACTCCCAAAAATGCAGCAGGAAAAGAAAGGCTTGTGTATAAACCACTTCTCTTTTTTTCTTTCTTATAGCATAGCATGAAGTTTTCTCTAAGAAAACCACAACACAAAACATTCAACACCAGAACACATACTAGCAAATATTTTAAGTAACTCCTGGGTTTTGATGTCTAATTTTAAGTTACAAGCTGTTGGTGTATATTGAGAGTTCATTACCTGCAGACAGTGTCTGCAAATTCAGTGTATGTTCTGTTTGATTGAAAGCCTGGACTGAGAAGCAACTGAGTAGAGATGCAACTTAGGATGTGAAAATTATGTAAGACATTTGAAATGTGGGTTTTTTACCAGTCTTGTATTTGAGGTAAGCTTGACCTTGTTTAAGATTTATGATTTAAATAGTCATCAGGTTATGATGGTAGACACACTTGCTTAGGTTTATAACTTGTCTACATGAACACAAAAATGAATACAGCCTGTCTGCTGTCACTGTAATAAGTGCAGTAACCTGACAGATTTAAATACTCAGTTTGATATGTTATCACTAATTGCTGAAAAACATATAATACAAAACTTAGACCCTGGTAGTTTATGTTAATTTTGCCTAAATATGCAGGGAATGGGTATAACAATGGAATATTACTTTGGAAGTTTTTGTAATTGATCATTTTCTTTTTCTCTTTTTAGGAAATCTTTAAGCCAGAAGGCAACTTTGGAATTCCAAGACAAAAAAGGGCTATTTTGGCAACTCCAATATTAATTCCTGAGAATCAAAGACCACCGTTCCCCAGAGCAGTCGGCAGGGTAAGTGCACAAAGAACTGGATCAAACGTTGATATTAAGTACTTGATCTTTCTCTGAAAGTTTTGGAATGCTTATCACCTTTGCTGTAACATCCCAAATAGAAATTAGAAATATAAAAGTGAACTGAGAAAATTGTTTTTCTGTCTCTATTGTGTAGACAGATGACAAAGGCTCATTCATCCAGGTGTTAATAGCATATTATGTTCAAAGCCAGGCTGGATGAAGCCTTGAGTGGCCTGATCTAGTGAGGAGGTGTCCCTGCCCAGGACAGAGGTTGGGACTAGATGATCTGTAAGGTCCATTCCAACCCTTAAATTCTATGATTCTATGTTCTGGTCAAAGGCATCAGAGACATGTTTTAATGCAGCTGCTGCCTTTAGCAGAAGTTGCTGCCTAACTGGATTTGTGTATTAAACTGGGGCTGAAATCTAGGCCAGGGATGTTATGATGAATATCCCACTGCATAGTATGAGGTATCTTGGTTTTATCTCATCACCTAGAAGGAATTCATAAGGTATTGCATGTAAAAGCAGCTTTTGTTCATTCTTTTAGCTAGCTCATTGAATTAATTTCTTGTCTGCAGGCAATCAAATAGATGAGAGTCAGAACAGCTGCTTTTCCAGACCTTCAGATACTCAAAATGATTAAAACTAAAATACCAATAATTGTTCAAATGACCATGTAGTCACCTGAAGTTTTAATTGCATGTTGGCAGTTTTGAACCAGAGATTCCTATGCATGTCTCTGACTTTAGCTGGTGTGTTAATGGCAGGATGGCACGTACAGCTGTGGAGTCTGTTCCTGGTTCCCACTGATATGATCACTGGAGCTAAATGCACAGCTCAAGGGCAGAGTTTTACTCTACAATTGATGTAATTTAGTGATGCAATCGTGTAATTTAGCTAATCAATTTAGCTAATCAGTTACTTTAATTATTAGGAAAGTTTGTTTCCCTATCAGTAAAAAGACAGAATAATCTATGAGGGTTTAATTTTCTACCCTTTCCCCATCAATAATTAACACTGATTTCATAAATTTCTGTAAATTTTTATGTCTTTCTGAAGTGTTTATAACGTTCTAAACTTTCTAAAGCCGTTTCTGAACTTTTTCCTCCACACCTCAGTCTTTGAGAATTGATGATAAATCACTGTTGTTAGCTAATATGTTAGTGATAAATAGTTAAATTTTAAGACTTGTGCAATTTTAAAGCAGAGAGAATGAAAAAGGTTACTTCTACACAGATATGTAGCCCTCTGGTTTTGTTTGTTTGTTATGGATTTATTTCCTCAACCCTCTTCCATCCCATCTGCTTGTGAACGCTGTATTTTGGTGTCTGAGGTAGTGTGAGTTCCTCTTTAGAAGTGCCTTCATTAAGTGTTTTTATTGGGAGTTTAGGATGATAATTCTGGTAACTGAGGCTCCTTATGCTCAATGAGCTGGATTTGGTCCTATTTGTACTGAAATGTTTTCCTAACATCTTGTCATCCTGATTTGTTACTGTTCCTGAAGTGCTACTCAGGGATCACAGGCGCGTTGGGTGATGTACAAACACAGAAGTGTAAAAGCATCTGGCAGGCTGTTTTTCCAAGGCCCTGAGATACCTGTCCTCAACTAATGTTTAAATTATAGGAACTGCAAATGATCAGCACCTTGAAATACTTTGGCTTGTCATAATTCTTACAGGTCTTTAGATATGTTTTCAGTAGGTTTCTAATTTAGATATCTAGATGAGTATTTTGTCTGTAGTCTGTTGAAAGTAGGAACATAGATTGTGTATGTGTCAAGCGAGACAAAAATTTTAGAGGTGTTTAAAATAATGGAATGACAAATTCTAGGTCAACTGCATTAATTTGCAATGGAATGCTGAACAAAGCTTGAATAAAATTATTTGGCATCTCAGACATACTGATGGCAGGGAAGAGTCTGTTGTTGCCTAGCTAAGAAATCTGATTGGAGTTAATGCTGAAAATAAAAGCAATTCTTTTAGGTATTTTTGACTTGTTGCAGATCTGCATAAGATCTTCATAAGGCTGTGAGGTCTTCATAAATCAAATGAATACCTGTGTTAATCCAGGGTACTTGTTTCATGTACTTATTTCAGATCCTGGACAAACTGTAGAAAAATTTGATCATGCCTCATGCTAATTTTGATGTTTATTGTGAAATTTACATACCTTCCTGAATTTGTAAAAATGTCTTTAGTTGCCCACCTCTGTAAAGCGTGGGGAACAGATTCATTTCCTATGCCAAAATATTTTGGGGCTTGTTGTCAGAAGCCTCAACAGGGACCACATGGACTGGTGAATTGCAGCTTCTCATGTTTATGAATTTCTCTTGAACTTCAGCTTTGCCATCTCTGGTCTGTTGAAATCCCTGCAGAGGGACATTGCAGATGTTTTTAGTAGCTGTGATTTCTGTAGCGTGTTAGGGACAAGATAAATCATTCAGAGAATGACTAATCTGTGTGTCATAATAGAATTTCAAAAAACGAGAAGGAATGTGAAGCTTTCCTGACTAAATGAAATGTAGGATAGTGATACTTTCAGCTATGACTCCTATTTGATACCATCATGTGTTCGTGTTTGAATGTTCACATAGAACTTAGGTTTCCAGTTGCACCCTGAGTGTGTTATTTTCCCTTTCTTACACCTGCTTTAGCAAATCCCCAGTGTAGTTTATTTGTCTGTCCTGACTGCCTCTTGCTTTCCATCCCTTGCTATGCTGGCTGGAAATGCAGAGTTGTTTGGAAGTGATTGCAGCAGCCAACAGCTGAAATTGCTTATTAGCACTTAGTTGGGAGCAGGGCAGATGTACAGAAACAGGAGAGCAGGGGTACAACAATTAGTTGAGTTTTATTTCACAATTAGGAAACAATACCATAAACAAAAAAATGGGGATTTTAGAGGACTTCAGTCATTAAAGTTTGGTTATATATACACCAGGAAGGAGATACTGCACTGGACAAGAGAAAACATTGTTTTGTTTAAATTAACTGCAAAAACTCAAATGAGTATTTAGCTTAACAAGGAACTATGTGTGCAGAGGCTGTTCTCTGGGCTGTTACTGGTCTTCCAGCTTATCCACTCAGGAACTGGATTATTGCCTTGCCATTTACACACCCTTCATTAGGGTATCTCTTAATTAAATATCTATCATAGCCATGCTGTGTTTGTAGGTGCAGAAATCTCACCTTTTAGCAGAATTTAAGATTTTGCATATTATCCTTTGTGCCTGAGGGAAAAGAGTGAGATTAAAATATTGTAATAGAATCTTGGTAATATAGGCCTTTGTGACCAGATGGCCAAGGCTACAACTCTTGAGTGTTATTGATGTGTTTTGTTTAGCTCTTGCTGATATAGCACAGGGATATGATATTCAATTTTTAGTCTCTCTCCATATGTTACTTTTCCGGTTTATTTGTCCACATCAAGTCAAATGGAGTACAGAGCAGTGGGATGCAATGCAGGATTACCTTGTCATTACAGGCACAGGTTACGTGCCACTACACTATGTAAATGTTTTCCGAGAGTGGTTGTTCTTTTCATCTACTTGAGGACAATCTCTAGATACCCTTTAACTTTAGGGTGATGACCTTTAAGTTCAAGGTCATCACCTTTAACTGTGGTGATGACCTGTGTGATGGTGCTTTTTGGAATTTAGTCCTTACCTTAATACAGACCTCAAAGAGCAGGAAGGTAATTGTGGAGATGGCCAACAAGTTCCAGCTCTACTTCCATGCCTAAGGACACCTGCAAAGTGAGATTTTATTTATATAGGCTCAAAGGATTTGCTCTGTGTGTGGCTGATGGACATCTGATGAATTCAGGTTTCTACTCTTTAATTTAAAGGAATTATCCTTCTTAAGAATGAGTATTGTAATTGCTGGCACGTAAAATCTGGAACCCATAAGTGGCCTGGTGAAAATTGGAAGGACTTTTTGTGTTCAGTGAAGGTCAGAACACAGAGAGAGGTTTGTAGGAAACTGCTGAATAAAGAAAAAACAACTTTATTTTTTGACAATAAGAGAAAGTTTTTTCCTTTGTTATTTGTCTCTTTTGTCCTTCTGGAAGGAGGAGATGTTTGTTCAGGTATCTTGGATCAGAAACTGTAGATATCCTTCCTGCTTCTGATCTGGGCAGTTAGCTGCAGTCCTGACAGGACTGACCCCAACACAAGCTCAAGAGTAAAAGTGTTGCAGGGGCTAGCAAACAAGATATAAATCTTAAAGATCCATGAGGAAGTGTTTATGTTTCCTCCTCTGAGCTGTGAATTTAAGGCAAAGAGAAATTACATCTTGTCTGTTAATTCAGCAATAGAAGAAACCTGACGAGGGGAGGAAGCTGAAGATAACTGGATGGAAAAGCTGCTAGAAGCTTACTATTTTTGAGTGGCTATATAGTGAGACTAATGTATATATGGTAAATTATATCCTTCACTGCTGAGAATTGTTATGGACTAAAGATGCAGCTGTAAAAAATGTCAATCTTCAGGCAAAAAATTGAAAAATCCCAAGAGAGATGATCATGATCCATCAGCCTGGAAAAAGAACCTAGAGAGAAGGTTTGGAGATCCGAGAACATGTGAAAGGCATACGTGAAAGGCAAGAGAAGAACAACAGTGAAGTAAAAGCTGAATTAAGAAGTGCATTTGTTCTATTGTGGAGCTTTAGGCAGAAAATGAGAGGCTGGGGAGAGAGAGAAAAGTGGAGGAGGAAATGTCCACATCTGGAAGATAATGGTGTGAGCTAACAGAGAAGAGAATGATGTACAGAACAGAGGAGCTATACCCAAAAACCTTTCCAACACCAAGAGAGAGATCTGTGTACCTGCTCAGCTGGTAAAGGTCTGAATCCCAGTTCTTCATCTGATTTTTTGTGTCATTTACTAAAAGCAGTGTGGAAGCAAGAGAATGTGGAACTAAACATGGGTCTGAGGTCTACAGGAAAAATCTATTGGATTTTTAAAAATTATTTTTATTATCCATTTGCTTGTTTTCAAAAC